ACCCTAGCCCGGGAAATCCAAAAAAAAGTTTAAAAAAAAAAAAAAAAAAAAAAAGCAGGCCATATCTCTTCACCACAGAGAAGACTATTACATAAATCAGATCAGAACTGGATAATTCTGAGATGTCTTTGGACAGTAATACTATGTCAAATCTCTAATGAGACTGAACAAACAAAAAAATATATAGTGAATTGACTCCATGCAGAGAACAAATTAGAAATTGGAGATTAAGAGTTAAAAAAAAAAAAAAAAAAGAACTCCTTGGGCTAATATAGTATATATTTCTAAATTGCTAATTACTGATAAATCTCAAAGCTTTCTTAGTATTTAGCTTATCTTTAGCAGTTTCAGACATCTTATTAAATATATGTATACATGGTTCTTGCCTGCACATGCCAGTAATACTTAAGACAGACAAATTCTTAAGAAATTCTTCTACAAAATAATCATAGGCTATATCTATTGCACTGAAAAACCCAGATGTAAGAACAGTAATATTCAGCAGTTAATAGTACGCTATATCTCCAGCATATCTACAAAGAGAAACCTACACTGTATATTAAATGTGTTAGGCTACATTACAAAACAATATTGAACAATGTAGCAAAATGAAAATTAGAATAAAGTTTTAAGACTGAAGAACAGTACGTGCTTTTAAATTTCAAATAAGGATCAGTTAATCATGGGAAATCAACTTAACACTTAGTTTGCAAGTGTTTTCTGAATTAATTAGATCAACAAACTGAAGTTCTTCTATTTGTATTCTCTGCTTTTAAGAAGCTCTGCTTAACAATAGATTTTTTTTTTTTCTTTTTACTAGGGTAATTATAAATATTCCAACTATATCAAAAAGCTTTTAAGATGTTCAGATGCTGAGACAGGATTATGTCCTTCAAAATGAATGCCAGAATCCATTCATTTCAGGTAAGAATATATTACATCTTCTCTCTTCTATGTATTTATCACACACTCTGTGACATGCATCTTCCTCAAAGAGGTCCTCAAGAATTTCTCTTGGTAATTTATGAAGAGAGATGCACTCCTTAGGATAATCAAATTTACCTTGACAGTAGCTTTGTGTATCAGGCTGACAATCAAAAAAGCCTAAGTCTCTTTGTCTTAGAATTTCCATGTAATGTTCATAAATATTGTTCAAATACTTTCAGTTCCATTTCCCACTCTTTACAGGACCCATCTGGAATAATAATAATCCTGCCTTTTCCCCAGCATAGATGGTCAGATAAATAAATGAAGAATCAGTTTATAAAGGCACTATACCTACTTTTGTCACTTCCAGGGAAGGAATGAATTGCTGCATTGTCTACAAAATGAGTAATCTCTGCCTTGCTTTCATATCTGGATCAAATTTTTGCATTTACTTTATATATACATGACTGTACATGGACAGACATATGCTACATAACTGAATTACTTAATGTACAGGATGGCTTTTCCAACACTTGTAAGTGCTACTAAAAAAAACTAGTCTAACAGCAACACTAGAAATAGTTAAAAATCAATATTTAATCATTTATCAAAGAAGATAATTAAAGCTTCAATAGGAAGTTCACATCCTAAAACTGAAATAAATGTAACATTGATTATCTTGATCAGATACTCAAGTGCATCCTTCCGCCTGTAATGTCCTATGAAAATTTTTCTCTAAGATTTAGTCTTAAAATTTGACCAAATTTCAGTTTTGGAAACTGGACAGAAATGCAAATACAGAACTTCGAATTAATGACACATACAACTACATAACGCTGATCTGATATATGGGAAATCAGAATATGGAAGATCCTTCAGGAGTCCAGCACTGAACCAGGCACAATACTAAAACAACTCAGGTTTTAGACCTGGCATGTAAAGAAACCATGTCTGAACCTGCATCAAAACTGTAGAATTAACTGTTCAGAGGCACTGTAAATTATAACCTTTGGAAAAAGATGAGACAGTTTGCCAGAGTAAGATTTGCACTCAGTGACAGGTCAAAACCTTCCAACTCTCTTACCTTTTGGTGGAAAATAGGACTTGCTTTCTGCTTTGTGAGGCCAGTCTACTACCAAAGGCCCAAATCGTCTGAAGCTAGCAGTAATTTCATCTAAAAACAGGTATAATAGTTGCAATTAAAATAAATGACATAACTCAATGAAAAAGCACTATCAAGCAAAGATCTTTGTTTCTAGGAAAGGCTGACATTTCATGGAAAAGAAGGAACAAAACTTCCAACTTTCATGAACTAAAAACTTAGACGCATCTTCCAAACCATTAATATTTATGCAATATATTTCCTGGTGATTTTAAGCTTCCGTTTGTTTTTTATTGCTTAATAACAAGAGGATTTCAGAAGCATATGGGCAACCAAAGGCAGTGGTGAAAATTGGTGCGGTACTTCCTTAAATTCAGAATCTGGTTTGAGTGCAATTGAAACAATTTACTGTTTAGTGACGCACAGCTCAGACTTTTGTAGGTAGATACTTCTGTAGTAAGTACCACCACAATTAGCGTGCTAGCAGTTTCCAGCAGATACCGTGCACAAATCAGGCACAGAAACTTAAAACTGCCTATTTAGGGGTGCTCTAACGTAACCATGAATAGTCGTGTTGCAAGATCTACGATGCCCCCTGCAGAACTTTGTGATGTCTTTCTATCCCAGACACTTCTTCCTGTCATTGACTGCAAGAACCTTGGCCATGAGGAAAAAATTAAACCACCCCGAACTTTATAAGAGCAATAACTCATCAAACACAAATATGCTCCATTTCTTTCAGTCACATCCTGCCATCAGCATATAAACAGGCAGGAAAGAAAGAAAATACATTTCCATGTGTCTTTGTTTAGCATTTGTATTAAAGGCAACAGGGCACATTTGAATTAGATGCTGAAGTGCATCAGAAAAAAGCTGAAGTATATTAAAATAAATCCTTTAGTACATTGCAGGAGAGTATCACAATGAAGATGAAACAAAAATATGGTCTTTCCATGACTGAAAGTTAATTAACCACAGTCAGCTTATTTGGTTTGCAAGTTACTCTAGGATTACCATGAACCTTGTAAAGGGACCTCTGTTTACATTACAAAGCTAGCATGTAATTTACATTTATCTGCACAGGAGAAACCTAATATTAAACAGCACAATTACTTCAAATCAGCACTACCGTACAAAACAATTCCAACTGCACCACGTAACAATCTGAGCTTCTGTGGTACATTCTATGTTCAATGCATCACAGAGTGCTCTGCCACTTGACCTTCCTCTGCCTTAGTTTCTCCATTTATGAACAGGAATAATACTAACCTTTCCAAACCACTTCTGAGATCTTCAGGTAATAGTAACATAGAATTTGAAATTCAATTACTAATAGAAGTTTTCTATGAATAAAGTAGGCACAGATAGAGGACACTATGAAGGGCTAAGACGTATTTGAAAAGAATATGCAAGGTAAGCAGGAGCACAAATTCCAGACATCACATGCAACTCTACAAGTTCATCTGCAAGTGCAGAATCAGAGACAACTGAACATCTCAGAACCAAAAGAGATGGATGACACCAAATGATATTAAGCTCAACATATCCATCAACTCTCATAAAAATATATATATAGTTGTAGCCTTTTACACCACAACATTATTTTCCTGGGTGGATTATCTCTACTCCTTCATTTAGGTTTTTCCCTCTCCCTCCATATGTAGTTTGCCTAGTTTTCAGGCAGCTCACCTTCATCAATATCTGGTGGAAGACCTCCAACAAACACTTTCCGAGAAAAACGCTCAATTCGTTCTCCATTCTGATGAGCTGAATAGCAGGTAGGTGAATTCAAGACTCCAACTTGATCACTATGACCATCGTCCAGCAAGCCATCATCTATTGGGAAGAGGGAAGAACGGCCTTAAACAGAAAAAGATAATAATACACATTAAAATAATTTTGTGGTAGTACATGGTTATGTAATTTTAGGGAATGGGGGAATAGCAGTCTGGAACGTAAAAATGGAAATACCAAGACATTAGAAAAGTACACATTAGTTTAAAGAAAAATTAAGAAAATGAAAAATGTATTAAACTTCAAAAAGGAAATTCAAGATTGCAAGCTGACATCACTGCATAATACTTCACACTACAGTATATTGTAGTTACTCTGCTGCATCCAGTAGGAAAGTAGTTATTTGTTTTTAAATAAAGGGTCTTATTTATGAAGAGATCATATTAAGGGCTTCTTAAGTGAGTTTCATTAGTCTGCCTTTGGTTTAGTTTCAAGTTAAATTGATAACTTCCATCACCTGAATGACTACCACATGTCTAAAATTCTTACACTTTAATTGAACAGAGGGAAACAGAAAAAAACATGTACACAGTAAGAAGTTTCAATCAGGTATGTTTTCTCTTCTTTTTTAAAGGTATCTGATGCTGATAACCTAAGAACAGATTTCATTCCTAAGAAAGCAAAAGAGAATTCTAATAAATGTGCAAAATGTAACACTTGAAAAATGAGTCACAGTTCCGATTTATCCTTCTCACTCTCAAATTTACCACAGTTTTGGAGGGAAGCCTTGTGGTGGTTCCTAACATGTAGCAATCTGCAGTAAACTTATAGTTACCCTGAAAAGCAAGTGTAAAATCTGAGTTCACAGGATGGCTTTGCAAACGCAAACTGATCAAAACAGATGTATAGATGGCAGGGGGGAGTGAAAACACAGTAATTCCGTCCCACTTCTTTCCCTCTATTTCATATTTACAAACTTCAGAGAACTCCAAAACAAAAAAGAGTTGGAAGGCCAGGATGTGCATCTTAGCTTATTCAATCTTTCAGTGCTTTAGATTAGCAACATGAAGACTAATGACAGTTTCAAATTTGGTAGCCAGTCTTTTAACTGCAAAAAGCCCAAAAATAAACAGTTTTGTGCAGCAAAATAAATACCCCACATCACCATTTCTTCTGAAGTGCAATTTTTCCTGTTTCACTCATTTTTTAAATAACTATTAATTAATTCAACTGCTTTCCAAAAACAAGCAAGCAAACAAAACCAAAAAACAAACTAGCACATTTTTGGGAAGCAACTTAATTTTCCACCTCGAATAGCCAACTTCTTCCAGATTCACCCACTGCAAATCCATACGCAGGAGCAATAGGTCCCCGACAGCTGAGTCTGCAGTACCTTAGCTGTGAGCCACACTGCAATGTGTAACTGTTATCCCCTCTCAGGGGAATACTACGAGGAAGGCCCTGCAGGAACACCTGCAGATATTGTGCTGACCAGCTAGGGATGAGAGCAGTATGAAAGCCATTCACTTCCCGAAGACCACCTGAGAATCAAGTGCTTAAAGACAAGGCTGGAGAACAGAGTGCAAACACCATGACCGATGACCTATGTTGTGGTAATGCCTAAGTACCCTCATTTGGTATCTAAATCCATAATAAAAATATAGTACATCAAAAATACCAAATGAAAACACAAGATGATAGAAAACAACCAAACATAATAAAATGTCACAAGGAGTATAGTACATCAAAAATACCAAATGAAAACACACGATGATAGAAAAAAACCAAACATAGTAAAATGTCACAAGGATCACAAAATCAAAGCAGGACCACAGGACTGTACTAAGTAACAAAGACTAACTACACCACCTTTATGGTGGCATTTCACATTTATGTCTTAAGTGGGCATCTAATGGAGAGGAGTACAGCAAATGCAGAGAGCTGTAGCAGGCTCCTTCTTTCCATTAAGAATGGTGATACACGTGTTGGAGAATATGACTAGTGGGGGAGCAAGTGATGGCATCCTTGCTTGCTACCATGAAGGATGCATTCTACAGCTAGGTAGCAGATCAGTAGAGTGTCTTTGAAAGTGGAAGCATGTAGCTGGTGCTCAATGGGGCAGAAAAGTGAGGAAGCAAGGGAGAAACAGAAAGGTAACAGAGTTGGAAGAAGCAGCAGCCAGGCAGATTCTTCTTGTAAATCATCTATTTAGACGTAAGAGGAGCAAGATCATGCTATGAAGACTGCAGCAGCTGAGTAATGTGGATATGAGTTTCAGTTATGAAGACTAATAAGGATGATTCGGTCTTAAAGATGTACATGAAGAAGTGGTAAGATTTGGTAACACAATCAAGAAAGTGGTACATAACAATGCATTTCTGAATTACTGATGTGAATGATGGAGAAGATGAAGCTGTTATCATAGTGACAGTGAAAGGAAAAAGTGGCTAACGGAAGAAATAAGACTCAAATTGCAGGAACTCAGAGGAAACTGCAAAAGTGGAAATGTTAAGCATTTTCACTAATATGTGAGAATTATTCTTAACATCTTAAATCTAAAGTGACTAATTTATCTGGGTCATCTTTACAGAAAGCACGTAAATTTGCTCTTTACCTCTTCAAGTCTCTATACTGCAGGAAAAAATAAACTTAAGTGACTTAAAAACATGCCAGTTTTAATAAACTTGTTGGCATTAGAATACTGCCACAAAAGCATTTAAGTGTGGGTTTTTTTCAGCTTTTGTTCTGTTTTTTTAAACACCACCACACAATTTATACTTAAGGAAGGTGTCTCTTCGGATCATGAAAATTATGCTTTTGTGTTTCTCTAGAAGTACTTCTTAGACAATTCCAACTTACAATATACACAAGTATATATGGGAAAATATAATCAAAGAATAATCCTCAGAATAATTTATTTTTTACCCACAGACCAATGTTCAAATCTAGGAACAACGAGAATCTAAGGCTCTCTTCCCAGTACAAATTAAACCATCAGAACTTGTTCTGAAGTGATACCAGAGAGATCAGCTTTAATGTGGGTAAACGTTTGCCAAAAGCACTGTTGCTCCTCACAGAGCTAAGATGACAGAGGACAATGGATTAACACATTTAGAGTAACATGCTCTATATGACTCGTAATTCTTTCTTCTCCCTCCTCTTCACTTTTAAATGTCCCTCAGATGAAGAGAGTGAAAAGGTAATTTGCTAGGCTTTCACATTTCTCCTGATGACTGGGAATTAAAAGGATAAGCCCTGTTAAACACTTGTTTCTTTTTGTTTTATGACAGTGAAAAAGAATTAAGCAGAATCTGCCAGGAATCATCAAAACACAACTGTACACTGACCATGATCTAGATCATCATTCCTCTCTGCATTAGGGCTACCAAGCAATCAGTTATGAAGCAATGCAGAAATCAAGAGAGAGACACATGAACTTATGTGTATGTTGTGAATACTGGAAGCTATCAAAGATCTTGATGTTTTTGCTGCACACTTTACACGGTCTTTCTAACAACTGCAGCTCACATCCTCATACAGTTAAATCAGTATAGCTTTTCCACGGCCAGTGAGCATATATTGGCTTATCCTATGAAAACCTGTTTACTGTTTCTAAGGGTTGTCTACTAGATTTCTTGCTAATTTTATGAAAGGCTTTTAGTTTTTACTCTGTACGCTATCACTTCTACAGAAGCAACAGAAGATGAGTTAGAAGAACAACTAGCAAATTGTATACTTTTAAAGAGGGCAACGACTGCAAGCAGTAGCCATTAGCATGAACTAAATTACGATTAGAACTACAGTGTTTTAACTGATTAAAGGATTTGTAATTCAAACCCTAAAAAGAGATCAATGATCATAACAATCCAGACTGCACCCCTCCTTCCCTCACACCCTCCATCTTCCCCAAACTAAGACAACATGCAGATAAGCGTTTAGAATCAATGATCTGGATTAATTAATCGTAATGATCAGTAACAGCTCAATCAGAATTAATTGTACTGTAACAAACAGAAGTGAATTACCTCGTCTTCGCCCATAACTCCTCGCTGCATGCAAACAAAGGACAAATTGTAAAATGTCAAATAACTGTATCATGCCCACATATTAAAATATTTAAGATACAAAGAACTATGTGGGTAAGCAGTAAGTAAAAATCTGCATCGGTTCTTGCTACTGATAATTGTAGATGAGAATGCATTAAACTGAAGTCTCACTTAAATACCATACTATTTTGCTACTAAATTGATGTTAGCACCAGCTGTAAAGAACATACTTTCAAATACTTCAATGTGTCTTCATATTTGATTTTAACTTCATGTTAATTATGGATGCATAAATTATGGTAACCTTGTAATTCAACCTCACAAATGTGATCTGTACTTTACACAAATGTCTAAATAACACACAGGGTACTGAAATTGTAAAAAGGAAAATATTACTTTAAAAAGCATGTAGCAAGCATTAAATTAATCACAGAAACATCCTGGTCCATGGAACAGTTTGTACGGTCCTTTGCAGTGACAATACAAATGCTATAAGCCGTGACCTTCCTTTTTCATGAAAAGACCTAGCAGAAAATTAACCACAAGGTTTTGTTTGAAACAAAAGACTCCTTGTGGTAGCAAACAAAATCAGGGCACAAGTCACAAGAAATAGCATTGTATCAAAAACACTGCACAGGCAAAGAAACAATTTCTGACAGACTGCAAGTAAATCCAAGATTTTCCAAACTTTTGAGTTTTGCAAGATTCTTAAAGAGATCGTGCTTATAGCTACAGTTCAGAAGACCATACTGATTGCTTCTCTGCCTGAAGGCTAGGAAACTAAAAATAGACAGATTACTAATACAAAAACTATTAAGCTTTGTGTAATTTCTCAGTTACGTTTCCACAAAGTATTTTCTATTCCCGTTTCACGGACTTTGTATCTGGGAAAGATTACTTTAGTCATTACAGCACTATACTTAAATATCCAAATAGAAAATACTACTATAAACCATAATGTTATAGCAACATTTACGAACAAAGATTGCTGTGTCTCAGCATTATTGTTTGGATTTTACTAGGACTCCATCCATATATCTCTCCTACAAAGCAGCTGTGGTTCTGGGACATTGAAATACATGCAGCCTCATAAACTCAGTGATTCATAAGTGTCATTCGCTGTTCCGTTCTCATATTATTACATACTTACAGCCTGGTACTTCCCATTTGCATGGTGTTTTTAAAAATTTTTACTAAGTATAATTTTTTTTTTCTTTGTTATCTTGATCACTTCTTACTAGGAATTCAGTGGATTGCTTACAGAACTCTGAAAACCTCTCTCCTTGTCTTTTCTCCTGTAAAACTGTAGATTTGTTACACAACAGTCATCATATCCCTATCCAACTTGCATTGAACTCGCTTTCAAATTGATTTTCTTTCATCTGAAAGAATTACTGTTGATGAGAACAGTCTTTTGCTTAAAGTTTTTCAGATCCTCCAACATTCTACTAGCAAGCCAAAACAGGAAAGCCCACTTTCTGAAAGAGCCTTGGGTATCTAACCAAGTGGAGGAAATACCTACATTCAGATTTCCCACATCCAAATAGAATCCACAAAACATAATGTATTCTTCTACACAATTAGTTCTCTCATTCGTTGCTGCTGCACGGGGAGACTAATGCCAAACTTCAGACTCGTTTTCCTCTCAAGCCAGGCACAAGACATGCAGTTCTATGTCAGTGTTGCAGCATGTACGAATCTTTTCTGACTCGTGGCCAAAGTGACTCCCATCTAGCATTAGCACTAGCGTCACTAAGCCCTCATCTAACCCCTGTATGCCTTTTTTTTTTTCTTCCTGCCACAAATAAAACTAGAGTAACCAGGGAAAATTCAAGTGCATCACACCCATAGCAATGACTGCAGTGCCATGTTCTCTCTCAAAGAATAATATACAATTCCATATTAATAAGCATATTTTGGCACAAGCCTGAGTAATTTTTCATCTCTTTTGCCACTTCTGCTCCTTTCTGCCCACCAAACCAGCTCAGCTATATTCTTATTTTCATAGTTAAGTCAAGCTGATATGCATAAAAATATTTTGTCACAGAACACCTGAGCTGTTTTTCTGTGCATTTAAGAAATAAACAACAGTAATTTTAAGGAGAAGCAAAAAGGGTTATTAAAACGCTAGAAAACCCCCAGTGAGATTCACCTTAAAAGGGCAGTTGCTGCAGTATTTTATATGTATGGATATTACAATGACGTACCAAAGTTATCTGTGCATTCTTTGCTTCAGCAAAACAATGAAATCAGAGAAAATGGGAAAATAACTGTACTTGATGTTGTCACATTATTTACTTTACTTGTATGGCAAACCCCCTTCCCTGATATTTATCTGTCTTGTCCATTTAGATCGCAAACTAGTTTGGGCAGGGATTTTCTGCCACTTTGTGTCTAGAAAAATGCAATCCCATTCTTAGACAATGCGTAGGCACTGCTGCAACAAATGCGATCATCAACATGAAAATGTACGGTTTTGCAAAGCTCATTATTTTTTCCTATTTTTACCCAGACTTTAAGACCACAGTGGTTATGTTATAGGTAAGTTGTTTTAATAACAGTAAGTACAAAGTCATACTGTTACTAAAAAGATGTTGGAGCAAACATATCCTATCTTCATGAAACTTCAGTATTTTAGTCTCTCCACATTACATATATATGAACTTTCTTTCAAAGGCCAGATACTACTTGTAAAAACAGTTCCACTGAATCAAACTTTTAGTACATTGTAAGCAACGAGATTATTCTTTCTGAAGATACTAAATTCAATCAGTAATATTTCTGTATTTACTAAAATAACATGCACATGTTTTACACCTTTCAGAGCACATATGCTTATAGAGCATGCGGTCTGTATAAATATAAACATTACATATATTTAATTAGATATTTATCTATACATACAGTTTTTTTAATATATATGTATTTAATATGTACATACAGATAATTAGTGCATATGTTTAGATAAATAATTGCAGGGGAGAGAGCCCTTTGGGGCTGAAACAGCCAGACACTGTAGACAAATAATTGACTTAGAACAACAAAAAAGGGAGATATTAAACATCTTCCTTCCTTCCTGAACTTGTTCAAAGAATAAGTCATACAGAAATACCTTTATATCTTTCAGTCTATAAAGCTGGATATCTCAATTAGCCAAAAACTCTGAAAGATTTCAAATGAGTGAGAAAGTACAAGAAATACACTTTTACTCTAGAAAATATAAATTAGGCAACACACGCAAGAAGTATGATGATGCCTAACAAAAATGAAGTCCAATAATGTTGGAACCTTGCAACATTAAGAGTGCTGTATATACAAAGACATTCCCTTGGAGTTAAAACCTTCTGTTTCTATATCCGTGAAGTTGCATACTATTAAGGCTTAAACCTGTCCAAAAAATTAATACCCCCTTTCTGCAACTTAAATCAGCACAGAAATAGAAATATGAGACAGAAGTAAATACACTTTTCGTGCATGTTTATCTAACATCAAGACAATATAACTTTGTACATTATGCGAGCAATGCTATCACAGAGATAGTAAATGCATAATTTCTATTTTATTCAGACATGTATTTCAAATATATACCAAAGATCAAATATGTACATACTTAAATAACTCAACTGAACGACTGAGATGAGTTCAAAATATTATGTTGTATTACAGGAAAAACTACTAGGCAAGCTTCCTATATTTAAAGATAACTATGAAATTTATGTAGCAAGTAAGATAAAATACTATTTGTCACTTACATTCCTGATTTAATGATCAAATGGTGACAATGAAGTAATGAAGCCCTTTTCATTAATAGTTATTTGTCATTTAAAGAAATCCATAAACAATTATGGCAAAAATTTCCCAAGAGTCTAGACTAAAGGAGGTAGGTGCCTAATTCCCATTTTATTCTGTTGGATTTGGGTGCCTAAATTCTCTTAAGATTTCTTTAGAAATCATATCGTTATAGATTTTAAGGCTGAAAGAGATTGTTATGACCATTCAAGTTCGGCATGCCTAACAGAAGCTCATTTATTAAACTTCCTATACAGGAATTGCTAACTTCTGTTTGAGGTAAAACACCTTTTTTTAGAAGCACAACCAGCTATAGTATCTTTAAGATGGAAAGTCTAATACGCCCTTGCTAAACTAAAATGGTGAATTATGTTTCAATAGCCATTAAAAAAATCCAATGCATTAAAACTATAAAAGGGGGGAACCCTATAATGAGGAAAAAACACCCTACACCCCAACAAATTGGACTCCTGCATTATTACTTGCTACAGAAAGGTTCTCTCTAAGTCAACAATTAAAGATGTATTCAGGTAAACTTATTCCAAAGTATCTTTTTTGACATTTGAGAGATAGCAGTCATTAAAAATGCACTGTTTTTTTTACAGCTTGAACTGAAACAGATATATAATTATCAGATATATAATTTATTAAAACACATAAATCAGCTTTCCTTTGGTTCATTTCATTAATTTAAATAATGAAAACTGTAAATATTAATATTAGGTACAGTTCAGTAAGTATACATTAAATGAGCTGGAAAAGATCTATCATTTAAGAAGAGTTAAAACTAGCTAAAAATAAGTTTTATCTAGAAGTGCTTAGTCTTAAAAGGGTTGAGGAATTCCAGCCTGGTTCATGTCAGAACCTTACCGGGAGCCAGAGATACCAGTCCACTAAATTGAAGCCAGCTAAAATCCAGTGAGGGTCATGATCTAGTGTTAAGTACTAGTGCACACATAGATGGACCCACGGTCCTTAAAAATGCTGGTGCTTTTCTTTCATGAAGGTCTGGTATCCCGGCTCCTACGAGGAGGAGCAGGGATACAACACTGCAACACTTACTGAGAAAGTAAGGGACAAATATGAGTTGCTAGAATACCAACTCTCCTCTTCCCTATTCCTCCCTCCAAGGCACCAACCACAGGGATACAGGGAAATGTTAGCTTGAATCCGCTTAAGCAGAGAAGGAAACTGAAGTCTACAACTTCATCACCAAGTGTTCAAGCTGTAATTCTCATTAGTGCACATTTGGAGGAAGCCCCTCAATTCTGGCTAAGAAAAGTTGTGCAAGTCTGAGCAGCGGGAGCTCCCCAGAAGCTGTTCCCAGTGCTTCTGCTCTCGAGCTGCAAGGAGCTGCAGTTCAGGCACTCCAGCTTGAGGAGGCTCTGAACATCAGACTCTCCAGGTACATGGTAGAGAGCTGAGGTGTATAAACCAAGGCTCTGAATTAAATTCTAAAGGACACACCTAAAAATTAGGTGTTGCAGCACCTGTCTTTTAGATACTCAAATTGTTATTTTTATCTCACCTATTGAAGGCTGGAAATGTTATTGCAGCTTTTAAAGAGGACAGCAGTCACATTAAGTGCTAACTTCCAAACTACAGTAGAAACCTCACCAGCATTAATAACACACAAGATATTCTTCAGTGCGTATTCTAGCTCTGTGGTCAGGTTTTCAGGATGGACTGGTACCACTGAGATGCATTTTTCCAATGTCCGTGATAA